GACAGAGCCAGGGCTGTCCCTCATGGGTCCTGAGCAATGCTGGCCTTGTGCCCTCCCTGCTTGCTCCTTCCTCACCAAGTGCCAGCTGATGCCTCAACTCCTCCCTCTGCCTGTCCCCATCACAGCTGACTTACTTTGTGGGCATCCTGGTGGTCCTGGCCTTTGCCTCCTGGGTGGCCCTGGCCAGGCCAGTAGGAGATGAGATCTACGGGCTGGCGGTGCTGCTCGGGGCGGGCTCAGCCACCATCCTGGTCACCTCCCTGTCTATGACTGCAGATCTCATCGGCACCAACACGGTACGGCCGCTGCTCCTGCTGGGACAGAGCGGGGCCACGGTGGGCACAGCACCCACGGTCTGGAGTAGGCACTGCTCAGGGTTAGGGGAGGGGGATCTGCTGTGCCCCGTGTGCTGTGCCCCTGTGTGCTGTGCCCCCTGTGTGCTGTGCCCCATGAGTGCTGTGCCCCCTGTGTGCTGTGCCCCCGTGTGCTGTGCCCCATGAGTGTTGTGCCCCTGTGTGCTGTGCCCCATTGCTGTGCCCCGTGTCCTGTGCCCCTGTGTGCTGTGCCCCGTTGCTGTGCCCCCGTTGCTGTGCCCGTGCTCTGCTGCTCGGCTGCAGTGAGGGCTCTGCCCATGAGAGGGCACCCGGCGCTGCGTGCCCAGCACAGCGCGGTTCCCTCTCCTCCCGCAGCACAGCAGTGCGTTTGTCTACGGTGCCATGAGCTTCACGGACAAGATGGCCAATGGCCTGGCTGTGATGGTGATCCAGAACCTGCACCCCTGCCCGTGAGTGCCTCTGCAGAGCTGGGACTCCCATTGCCTGAGGAAACATTCCAGGGTTGGAGCAAGAGACACGGGAGGGAGCCAGCTTGGATTTGTAGAATCCCAGGATGGTTTGGATTGGAAGGGACCTTAAAGCTCATCTCCTTCCACCCCCTGCCAGGGGCAGGGACACTTTCCACTACACCAGGTTGCTCCAAGCCCTGTCCAACCTGGACTGGAACACTTCCCGGGATGGGGCAGCCCCAGCTGCTCTGGGCACCCTATGTTGGGGCCTCCTCACCCTCAAAGGGGTGAATTCCTCCCCAATAGCCCATCTAACCCTGCCCTGTTGTAGTGAGAAGCCATTCCCCCTTGTCCTGTCCCCCCATCCCTTGTTCCAAGTCCCTCTCCAGCTCTCCTGGAACCCCTTTAGGCACTGGAAGGGGCTTTGAGGTCTCCCTGGAGCCTTCTCTTGTCCAGCTCTGATTTGTCTTAAACCCTTCTTCATCTTCTCTCCCAGCCTTGGAGGGCCCAAGCCATACCCTGGGGATATCCTTGCCCTGGGCCTTTCCCTCACACCCCAGTGCAAACCCATCCTGACTCTGATGTGAGGACATGGGACCACTGCCCACAGCCACATCCCTGCCTGTCCTCACAGGACTGAGCTGTGCTGCCCTGCCTGTGTCAGCTTCTACCGCTGGGTGATGGTGCTGGTCACCGGCGGCATCGCTGTCGCCGCTGTCACCACCCTCTGCTCCATCATGGTGTGGCCCATCCGGATCCGCTGCCGTGAGTGGGGCTGGGGGCTTGGGGGCAGCCCAGCGTGGGGCTGGGGGCACTGGGAGCCCTGTGCTCAGTGCCAGCCTGGGCTAAAGCCACAGTGTCTTTGCAGATGGCCCCAGTGGGGCAGTGGTGGGAGCGCTGTCGTTACTGGGCTGGCTTGTGGCCGTGCTTGCAGGGGAGCCCTCATGGTAGGACACAGGGCAGGGCCATTGTCACACTTCCCTGCCACCCCCAGAGAGGGGCTGTGTTTGCTTGCTGGGCCCTTCTGGGGGGCAGCACCCCCCTGGCCCGGCTGTGGCCACGCTGGGGCTCCAAGGGGTGTCAGAGTGTGGCAGCAAATGTGGGGGACGGCGGGGTGCCCTTTGCCAGGCTGGGGAGCCAACACCGCTGGTCAGTGCCTGTTCTGCCTCTCAGGGTGCCAGTGCCTCGCTGTGGGGTGGGGAAACAGGACAGACCCCTTGTGCTGCTTGGGGCCCTGCTGGGTCAGGGCCCTGGTGCTAGCAGAAGAGTGCAGGAAGGCCAGGCCAGCACATGGGGGTCACCCCACGCTGCCATCTCTCCTGACCTGTCCCTTTCTCCTCCAGGTGCTGTCAGCCTGCATGGGCTGAGGAGCGCGAGGACCCCTGAAAGTGGCACTGGGAGCACTGAGGCAGAGAGCCACAGCAGCACTGTCAACTGAGCGGGGCTGTGTCCTTGGCCACCGTGTCCTCAGGGCTGTGTCCCCAGGGCTGTGTCCTTGGCCACCACGTCCTCGGCCACCGCGGTGCCACACTCTGAGTCTGGAGGGTCCCCTGCACTGGGGGGCACTGGGCTCTGGGGAGGGGGTGACCCCACCCCGTCTCCTTGCACTGGACTCGTATTCCCACCCTGACCTCATGTCCCCATCCCGGACTCTGGTGTCCCATGAAGGCTGTCCCCGGTGCGGTGTGACCGGTGCAGGGTCACCTGGCACCTCTCACCTGCACAATGAACACTAGAAGGGCCTAGGCCAGGCCGGGGCGGCCCCAGAAGAGGGGAGCGCTCGGGGGAGGCCCGAGGTTTTAACCTGCTTTTGTAAGGTCAATACGTACAAACGGCACTTTATAAAGGAGGAGAAAAAGGAGAGAAAAAAACCAACCGCAGCGCTGATGGCTCCGGGATGGGGGTGGGGGCTGCAGGACCCAGAGCAGGGGTCGGAGCGGGTCTGGGGGCTCAGGGGTGCCCAGCGCGGCTCCGGCCCGGCCCGGGCGGAGGGGCGGCCTGAGGGCGGGGGGAGGGGGGGAGCAGGGGCGGCCATGGCGGCCCCGCGCGGGACGGAGCGCGCGCAGGCTGGGGACAGGGGATTGGTCCGTGCGCGGGGCCCCGCCCCCGGGGTGGGACAGCCAATGGGAGCGGGCCGTGCGCAGAGGGGGCGGGGACTGATAAGGAGTGTGGGTGTGTGTGAATCTGTGTGTGTGTGTGTGTGAAACTGTGTGTGTGAAACTGTGTGTGTGAAACTCTGTGTGTGTGTGTGTGTATGAAACTGTGTGTGTGAAACTGTGTGTGAAACTCTGTGTGTGTGTGACTGTGTGTAACACTGTGTGAGTGTGTGTGTGGTGGGTGTGTGTGTGAAACTCTGTGAAACTGTGAAACTGTGTGCGTGTGTGAAACTCTGTGTGTGTGTGTGTGTGTATGAAACTGTGTGTATGAAACTGTGTGTGAAACTGCGTGTGTGTGTGTGAAACTGTGTGTGTGTGAATCTGTGTGTGAATCTGTGTGTGTGAAACTGTGTGTGTGTGACAGTGTGTGTGTGAGTGTAACACTGTGTGAGTGTGTGTGTGTGAAACTGTGTGTGAAACTCGTGTGTGTGTGTAACACTGTGTGTGTGTGTGTCACACTGTGTATGTGTGTGTGTGCGTGTGTGTGAGAGACACTGTGTGTGTGCGTGCGTGTGCAACAGTGTGTCTTTGTGTGTGACTGTGTGTGAGACATTGGGTGAGTGTGTGTGACTCTGTGTGTCTGTGTGACTCTGAGTGTGACACTGTGTGTGTGTGTCCATACCTGTGTGTGCCCCCCACGTGTGCAGGGCTGTGCTGTGTGCACAGCGAGTGTGTTCAGGAGGGTGCTGGGGTTATTCCATAACTCCTGGGATGGTTTGGGCTGTGAGGGACCTCAGAGCCCATCCAGTGCCACCCCTGCCATGGCAGGGACACCTCCCACTGTCCCAGGCTGCTCCAAGCCCTGCCCAGCCTGGCCTTGGGCACTGTCAGGGATCCAGGGGCAGCCACAGCTGCTCTGGGAAATCCATCCCAGCTCCTCTCCACCCTTCCAGCCTGGAATCCCTTCCCAAGATCCCACCCAGCCCTGCCCTGTGGCAGTGGGAGCCATTCCCTGGGTCCTGTCCCTGCAGGCCTTGTCCCCAGTCCCTCTGCAGCTCTCCTGGAGCCCCTTCAGGCCCCAAAAGGGGCTCTGAGGTGTCCCTGGAGCCTTCTCCTGTCCAGGTGAGCAGGCCCAGCTCTGCCAGCCTGGCTCCATGGCAGGGTTTCTCTCTGGCCCCCGTCTGTGCCCTGTTCCCCCTCACTCAGCTCCGTGTGTGCCCCTGGCTGGGCTGGCACAGAGCCCCTGCCTGGGGGCTGTGGGTTCGTGTGTGCACCGAGGACACGAGTGTGGGGTGAGGGGGCTGCAGGGGGCTGGGGGGATGACAGGGTGCGGCCACGGGCAGGGAGGGACACCCCGAGTGTGCCCGGTGTGGGGGAGCGGAACGGGATGCAGGCGGATGGGGCGGGAGCCGGGCCCGGCGGGGTGCAGCCCCTCGGGCCGGGCCGGCTTTATGGCGGTTCCCCGCCGCGGGCAGGGCCTTATCAGCCTCGGTCAGAGAGCAGGGCCGAGCCGGGCTGGCTCCGCGGCCTTCGCACCTGCCCAGGGCCCGCGGTCCCGGCTCTGCCCAGCGCCCCCGGCCCGGCCGTGCCCCCTGCCCACCTCCCTCTGGGGGTGCCACTCTGGCAGAGACCCCCGGGCGAGGGGCGGCCGTGCCCCCAGCGCTGCCCGGCCTTGGGGCAGGAGGGAGGGGAGCGGGCACCGGACGGACGCTGCCGTGCAGTGTCCCTGCACTGCGGGATGTCCCGGCACTGCGGGATGTCCCGGGATTGCGGGGTGCCCATGGATTGCGGGGTGCCCCCTGTGAAATCGCAGAGTGCCGCGGGACTGGGCTGTGCCCCGCTGGCTCTCAGCGCTGCTGGGGCTCGGGTGCGTTTGCCGCTCTTTGGGGGGGCTGGCTGCTCCCGCACTCCCCGGGGCCGGGCCGGGCTCACCCCGCGCAGCCCCGGCGTGTCCCGGGTTGGGGCTGCCCCGGCCGCTCCCTGCGAACCTGCCGCGGCCCCGCCCGCTGTCCTTCCTCGGGAGGAGGAGGAGGAGGAGGAGGAAGAAGAGGAGGCGGAGGAGGTGGCAGCGGAGCAGGAACGGCGCTGGAAGCAGCGAGAGCGGGACAGCTCCGACGGGACGTGTCCCCCAACAGGAACCGGCTGTGTCCCCGGCAGGTACCGCGCGGGGCCGGCCCGAGGCGGGGTTCTGGGGCCGTGCGTGGGTCTGGGGTCGCAGCCGCCTTCCCGTCCCCTCTGCAGCCAGACCGGCCACGCACTCCCGCCCCCAGCCCCGGTGCGGGGATCGCTCTCCCCGTCCCCCGCCCGTACAGGGGTCACCCCTTCCCCGTCACCCCGCTGCCCTCGGGAGTCTCAGCCAGCACAGAATATCATGGAACGGGTCATGAGACCGGCTGAGCTCTGCTGTCCCGGTCCCGGCGTGGCCTGAGCCGTGTCCCTGTGTCCTCCCCGGTGGAGTGACAGGTTGGTGACACTGGGATCTGCCGTGCTGCAGGAATAGGTTGTTCCCACAAGCCGCCCCCTCTCCCCCGGCTGTCGGACTCATCGCTGATGCCGGGGAAACTGAGGCGCGGCAGGCGGGAGGTGCTGGGGGAGAAGCAGTGGCGGAGCGCGGAGGAGAAGGGAAGTGCCCAGCGGGAGCAGCCCAAGCTCACCAGGTGGGTGCTGCCCCTCATGGGGTCACATCCCGCACCCCAGCCCCACATCCCACCCCTCGAGTCACCCCCTCCGATGCCTCCTTCCAGATCCAGGACCTATGAGTCCTCCTGCAAGGAGCCGGAGCAGGCGGCTGCGGGCAGGCAGGGACCCCCATCCCCCTCGGTGAGTCTTGGGGTGCCGGAGCTGAGGAGCAGCACCCCAGCCCCATGGGCTCGGCTGGACGCTCTCTTGGGGCGGGGGCCGAGGGAGGGCTCGTCCCGGTGCCGTGGCAGACGTAGAGCGAGGGGCTGCAGGATGCCCGCGGTGCCAGGGCCGGCCCCGAGCACCGACCCCCGCCCTCCCGCAGCTGAGCAAGCAGGACAGCAGCTACCGCCGGGCCTTCGGGGAGCTCGCCGAGCAGGACGTGCTGCTGGGCTGCTTCTCCTGCGCCTGGCAGAGAGAAATGCCCTACCACGGCCGCCTCTACGTGTCCTCCCGCTACGTCTGCTTCCACTCCAACCTTCTGCTCAAGGACATCAAGGTGGGGCTGGAGCGGGCGTGGGGCCGGCGGGACAGGCAGAGGCACGGGTGGCAGCCGGGAACATGCTGACACAGCCTGTCCCCTGGCACAGGCCGTGGTCCCTGTCGCCTCCATCTCAGCCCTCAAAAAGACCAACACGGCGCTGCTGGTGCCCAACGCAATCAGCCTCCGCACGAACAAGGGGGAGAAGGTGAGAGCGGGGCCAGTGCGGGGGCAGCCTCACCTGGGGCTGTCTGGAGTGTCTCGGTCCCCGCGGGCTCTGGGCCGTGACCGAGGGGGCAGCTCTGGCACAAATCCCCCTCTCGCTCCCCGGCAGTTCCTCTTTGTGTCGCTGCGCCAGCGAGAGGCCACGTACCAGCTCCTGAGGTCGGTGTGCAAACACCTGCAGGTACGCGGGGACTGGATGGGCAGGGGGGCTCCATCCATCAATTGCAGGGCACCTCCCTTCATCTCTCCTTGTCCAGGGCAGCGGCCAGAGCCCTCGAGACTCAGTGAGCTCCGAGGAAACCCTTGGAAAGTCTCAGGTAAGGCCAGGGAATGGAGGGCAGGAGGGTACAACAGGAGGAGGGGTGGTCCCAGCCCCCTGGATGGAGTGGGCTGGGTTCAGTGGCTGGGAAGATGGTGGGGGGAAACATGAAAAGCCCCAGCCTGAGGCAGCGCAGACCCCGGGACCTTCCCTTCTTGTGGGTGACACAGGTCCCATCAGGTCCTGCCCATGTCCCCATGCCTTGGGGACACACATGGTGACTGGGGCTTGTCCTCTTCCAGATCTCGAGCCAGTCAGCCCTGGAGCAGAGCACCCCGGAGCCCAACAGCCTCCCCGGATCCCTGGGTGAGCGGCGGCCCTGTGCCCTGCCCCTGCCCCTGTCCACAGCCATGTGCCCCCCGGGCAGCTCTGGGCTCTGCTCCTCCCCACACACGCCTGGTCTGGGGGGGGCGTGCGCGGCCCTCACCCCCCACAGCTCCAGGGAGTGCAGGATCAGCACTCTGTGGCCCCACGTGCCCCCAGGACACACAGACCCCTCCCTGGGGCTTTCATCGAGTGTCTTCTGGTCACCCGCAGATGAGCCCAACCCGAGATCAAGGCAGGCAGAGGATGAGGATGGCGAGGTGGCCCTGCTGATTCCCAGATGGGTGCCTGCAGCAGAGAAACGTGGCCTCTGGGGTGGGTCAGGGGGCTCGGGATGCTGGGATGATCCTGGGGGTTTACACCCTGGCAGAGCCGAGCACGGACTCTCAGTGCCACTAACACTGCCTTGTCCTGGCAGGGAGAGCCCACGCCGTGCTCTGGGCCTGGGCCACTGCACTTTGGTCCCGGATAAACCCCCAGCTGAGCTCTCTCAACATCATCATCACCATCTACCTGCTGCTGTGAGTCCCCAGGACCTGCTCCCAGCCCCGCTCCCCATCCCCACTGACACAGCCTCTCCACAGACAGGCCAGGGTCCCCGCAGTTCCCCTCAGACCCCCATCCCCAGGGCGAGCACACGGGGGCCTGTCCTGGCCCTGCTCTCCTGCCCCGTGTGCCACCCTGTGCCCGCTGGCTGACGCTGGCCTGTCCCCAGCATGGTGGCCTTGCTGCTGTCCTCGGGGTACATCGGGCTGCGCATCGCGGAGCTGGAGCAGCAGCTGTCCTTTGCGGGGGCCGGCCCGCGCCTCAACCTGTCACCGCAGTGAGTGGGGGACACGGGGGGCCCTGTCCCCAGCACAGGCTCCTCCTCACCCTGCCTTCCCCCAGGTCCAAGAGAACGTGAGGCCACTGAGGACCATCAGCAGCGCGGCAGCCGGGGCTCAGGGGCTGCTCTGAGCCCGTCCTTGGCCTCTCGGGGTGGCTCTGTCACCAAGTGCCTTCCAGCTCCCCACGATGCCTGGGGAGCCCACGGGCTGAGAGGCTCCATCTCCCTGTCTGCCCACCCTGAGCAGCAGCAGAAGAGACCCAGGGAGCTCCTGGCAGGGCAGAGAGCAGGGAAGGGGAGCTGGAGTCAGCAGCAACCCCCAGCCAGCCCTCCCTGCCCAGAGGGAGAGAGGGTCAAGCCCCAGGCAAGGCAGGGGCACAGAGAACAGAATATTTTGTTAATAAAGATTAATAAAAATCTATATTATTTTAATACTTATTATTTGCTGGGCCAGATGCCACAGGATGAGCATGAACTAGTCCCCCATTCACCCCGATTCCCAGAACAGACCAGGACACAGCAGGACCCAGAGCTTTGACTCTGACTGGTGTAGGGAGGCAGCTCCAGGTGCTGTTGTCCAAGGGGTCCAGGGAGCAGCAGAAGACCCTGAGCAGCCCCCTGGGGCACTGGCTGCTGGTGACAATGGGAGGCAGAGGGGAAGGGGACAGTGGGGGGCACCAGGGAGCCCCAGGGCCCTGCAGCTGGCCAGGCCCTGGCTGTTACCCTGCTCCTTCCCTAGGACAGGGCTCACCTGCCAGAAGAAGGTGTAGGGTCACAGGTACACGGTGGGGACAATGGGTTCCCACAGGTTCTGAGCATAAACTGGGGATGAGAGCAGAGTGGAGGCAGAGCAGAACCTGCACCCCACAAAACAATCCACCAGCCCAAAGCCCTGGAGCTTAATCCCTTTCTAGGCCAGTTAAGGGGCCCGGGGGCTTCCCCCAAGCACCAAGATGGGGAAACTGAGGCACTGACAGCTCCTTTCTCTGTGTCATTTCCTGGGCCATCCCTTCCTCAGACCCACAGCTCAGCTCCGTGCCTGGGGCAGCAGCAGTGGGAGATGCCAAGCTCAGGGATCCTTGCTCTCCCCATCCTGCTGCTCAGCCCCATGGAGCAGCTCTGCTCCACAGCACCAGCCCGGGGGGTCTTCCAGCAGCAGCCTGGAACAAGGCACAGGGCTGTGGGCACAGGGCTGTACCCCACTGAGAGGTGCCCAGGGAGGGGGTGTCCCCCTGTGAGGGTCCCACCTGCATGGGGACAGCAGGACTGAGGGGCTCTGCACCCCCAGCCTCACTGCAGCTATACCCTGGCAACTGCCCCACACCAAGGCCAGGGACCCCTTTTTGTCCTTCCTGCCATGCCTGGGGCACAGGGCAGGGCAGGCAGGGTGGCCGTGCCCTTTCCCAGCAGCAGGAAAGCAAACAGCAGCAGGAAGCTGGGAGCAATAAACCAGGTGAGATCTGTGCCAAGAAAGCTGGTACCTGCACAGGTGGGGTGGGGACCCTGGGGAGTTGCTGCACCCTTCGCTGTGGAGAAGCAAAGTGGAGCCATGGAGACCAATCCCAGTAAATTCATAACCTGTTTAATGACAGTTCAATTGCTTTACATGAAGGTTACAGCGTGCTCCATGTTTGTTTTCCATCACATGACACCTGGGATACAACGATGCCACAGACTTTTGTCACGCAGCTCGGGGAGGACCCTGTGCCCGAGCCAGTGCCCACGGATCACACACACTGACACATCACCTCAGCTCTGACTTTTCTCTCTTGAGCAGCAGGTGACAGTGACAGTAACACCCTGAGACACCTGCACACGGATACAACTGGGAGCCCCTGCCTGGCAGCGAGGCAGAGAAGGTGGCGGTACCGGGCTGACAGCGAGCTCAGGGTGAGCAGCCTGTTCCTGCCATGCTCTGCCACCAACCGTGTGGCCACAGAACAGCCCTGGCCTGGCAATCACTAACCCTGGCCTGGCAATCACCAGCCCCCCTGCCAAGTGCAGTAAGAGAAGTCACCACGAGCCAACCTCCTCCCAAGGCAGACAGAAAAGCGAGATGTAGACACAAGATGCAGTTTGGGAGAGTCCTTGGCAAGAAGGGACAATAGTGGGGGACAGAGCAATGAGGAGCTACCCCTGCTGTGCAGCTGGGAGCACTGGGCAGTGGCTGCAGTGCCCAGCTGGCACTGCCCAACCCACAGCACTGCCACTCCCTCCAGCTTCTTGAGGAAGTTCCCCCATCACAGGGTGAGAGGCAATTCCACTCCTGTGGAGTCCCAGGGCACTGGGGAACCCAAACATCACCACACTCACCATACACCCCAGCTGGGTGCCCTGCTCTAGAACAGGCTGAACCCTCCTGTGCACCCCCAGCCCAAGCACCTCCACCCTCCCAGAGGAGAAAGCAGTGTGTCCTGGGGGTCTGCACAGTGCTATTTAGCAGGAGGCCATCCACAACAGGAAAACCCACAGCACAGCCACCAGCCTCCCCAGCCCCCCTGAACGGCCCTTTCCCCAGGTGATGACACCCACAACACATCTCTTCCTGCAGGTGACCCTTTACTTCAAACCAATTCCTCACTTGAATGATCCAACTTAATTTAACACCTCCTGGGTGCTTTGGGGTGCTCCCAACCCACGGTGACGTGGAACAGTGCCCACAAGTGGAACGAACAACACAAGACAGGCCCGGGGGTGACTTCAAACCATGCTTCACATCCCATGGCCAGAGCTACACTAAAGCAGTTGCAGTCAAACAGTGTTTCAGAAACTCCATGGTAATTTCGTTTTGGTGGCAAGTGAGACTGTGAGATGACAAAGGGGCCTGTGGGCCTCAGAGCTGCCAGGGGGCTGATCCCAGCACCAGCTCCTCACCAGTGACTCCCAGTGTGCGTGACACGGGCACGGCCGTGGTGGCACACGTGGTCCAGGCTGTACTGGCCTTCTCACACCTTGGCTCACCCTAAGGATACTGGTGGGACTGGGGACAGACAATCATATTCCTACCACCTGGTTTTAGGGAAAGAAGGGAGAGCAGACAAAACAACAAAGGAAAAAAAAGCAAGGGAAAGCATTACTTATGCAATCTACAGGGAGAAGACAAGTCTATATACACAGCCAGGGAATTGCACATGGGAACAGGAAGCAACGCTGGGAGAGGGCAGGAGGCAGGCAGGGCCTGGGCAGGCACAGGCACAGGTCAGATGGAACAGGCTGTGCAGCCTGATAGCTTCTCTTAAATTAAAAGCACCACACACACACGCACACAGAGAGCATTTGTCATACATCCCATGGGCTCCAACACCAGCCAGAACTCTCGTCCCACGCAACCTAAAAACCCCAAACCACACACCAAAACTCAACAGCAGGGCCCTGTGTGGGACTTGGAGATAACAAAAAAGCAATGCTGCAGCCCTGCTTCAGGAGAACTCTCTTCCAGCCAGAAGAGGCCCGGCTCACCCCAAAAATCATATCTTTAGGATTTATTTTTTTTCTCAAACACATCCCAACTGCTTTTGGCCTCATGGAGACTCCAGAGCAAGGCATCCACACAACAGCACCAAAGGAAGCTCCACATGCACAGGTGGTTGAGTGGGTTTCTTTTTTTATAAAGTCCTTGCTTCTGCTCTCTGGTAACTCCCAGGATCAGCCCAGAAGATGAAACAGCAACTGCAGAACTTCCCGAATCTGCTCCCTTAGAGGTGAAGCTTTTTCAAGTCTCCTCCAAAGTCTAGAGCCCCAAGGTGTATTTGTTCAGAGGCAGCTGTCAAGCATGCCCAAAAAAATCAAGCTGTCTTATGGAATGATCATGTCAAGTACTACAGTACCTGTCTGGGGGAAAAATGAAAAAAAAAAGGAAAATAGGCAGTTCTCCAGTTTCTTCCTGGAATAGGGATGCCAGGCTATGAACAAAGCCCTTAGATGCCCAGCCTGGAGCTGTGCCCCTCGCACCAGCTGTACCGCAGCAGCCTGGCTGGCTCCTGCCTCCAGGGACGGCACTCTGGGACACAGAGCAGCACGTCAAACCCCTTCCCACAGCAGCAAGGACAGGCTCCTCTCTCGCAGGAGGCACACCATGGCAGGGGGAATGGCCTCGGTCCAGTCTCAATGGTCCATGTCACACGAGTCCTGCCCAGCACCATCCCGATGGCCGGAGGACGCAGGGTTAACATTGCCCGTGTACCCGTTTCCCTTAATGAAGGATGAATCCAAAAACCTTTGGCAGTTCCCTCCCCTCCCCACCCCATCCCAAATACTGCCCAGCCCTGTGGGTCACAAGCACATATTTAATGAGCTGGGTCCTCCTGCAGTCCCACAGCTCTCCCTCCCCTTGGCTGGGCTCCGGAGGTCCATGCACGCCGAGGGAGTGGTCTGATCCTGGAATGTCAGGCTGTAGGTTCCCGGGGCACAGGGAGGGCGTTTATCGTATCCTGGTGAAGAGGTTGAGCACAGATACAGACTCCTGACAAGGGAACACAAAGCAGGGAGTGAATAGCTGTTACTCCACATGCTTCTGGGTTGGTTTGTTTTTAACCTGGTATCTCTAGCTCAGGGCATGACTCCAGCTCACAAATCAAAGTCCAACACCATAAATATTCCCATGGGTTTCTTTTAAACGGTAGCATGTGCACAGCTGGCCAGAGTGCCATTCCCAGAGCGCTGCAGGCAGCTGTACCCCAGAGATGGCAAGAACTGGGGGACCCCCAGGATCAATGCTAGCTCGCTCCACTCCCTTCCTCAAATCCCTCTGCCAGGGATCCAAGGAAACTCACAAAGCATCAGACACAATCTGCTTTTGGTGATGCCAAGTTGTCACTGGCAGAATCCATGATCCCATTTTCATCCAAACCCCCATTTTAAGCAGTTTTGTAAAGAGGCAGGGGATAATCATGGACTCACAGAATGGTTTGGGCCTCAAGGGGCCTTAAAGTTCATCCCCTTCCACCCTCTGCCATGGGTTGCTCCAAGCCCTATCCAACCTGGCCTTGGATCTTCCAGGGATCCAGGGGCAGCCATAGCTGCTCTAGGAAACTTGTGCCAGGACCTCTCCACCCTCACGGGGAACAATTCTTTCCCAATATTCCATCTAACCCTGTCCTCTGGCACTGGGAAGCCATTCCCCTTGTCCTGTCCCTCCAGGCCCTGGTGCAAAGTCCCCTCCAGCTCTCCTGGAGCCCCTTTAGGCACTAGAAGGAGCTGTAAGGTCTCCCTGGAACCTTCTCTTCTTCAGCAGGACACCCCCAGCTCTCCCAGCCTGCTGTCACCTGAGAGCTCAGCTGCTCTGCTGTGCTCAGCAGCCCTGGACCAGCCTAGAGAGGGATGTTGTGTCACACCAGCCTTGGGCACAAAGGGCAACCTTTTACTTAAATCTCAGCAAAGTTGAATCCTTCACTGCCCCAGCCCTTGATCTGCAGGAAGGGATCAGGGAGGAGGCAGCAGAGCAGAGCCAGTGTGGCCTGAGGTGCCCCAGGCAGCTGCCCCCATGCCTGGCCTTACCTTTGTCGAGCGAGTTTTACTGAAGACGTTCCAGAAGCGTAAGGTTTCGTCTCCAGCTCCTGTGACAATGGCCTCCCCATCAGGGGACATTGCCTAAGGACAAGACAACAACCTTTAGCACCTGTCACATTTCAGAGGCTTGAAAACAAGACCTAGTTGGAATGCAGGAGAAATTTAACTGTCCTTCCTACTCGTGGTAGAAGCCAGCTAACTCCACTTTCAGGTGCCTCAGAGGCAATTTGGGCCCTGGCACCTTATGGTGCAGCTGTGGAACACATGGGGGGAGTGTTGTGGAAAGAATATTTGTGCTAAGAAATCCAAGCCATGTGTAACTGAGGCTGTTCCTCCCAGGATTATCAGCCTGCCTGAAGGCAGGAAGATGATCTGACTGGATTTTCTGGCTGTATTGGTTGCTTACATTGGGATCTACCTCCCAAAACATTATCAGCATTTGTCAGCTCCACCATGAACTGCTGACACCCATGTAACAGTAACAGCAGATATGAGATGGATCAGGATTACCCACAACAAATGTTTAATTCCCTGGGCAGCAGTCATCAGTGAAGAGGTGTGAAAGTCTTCTGGGAGCAAGGAGAGAAGCTTGTGTTTCATAAAATCACAGAATCCCCGAATGCTTTGGGTTGGAAAGGACCTTAAAGCACATCTCATTCTGCTCCCTTCCACTGTCCCAGGCTGCTCCAAGCCCTGTCCAGCCTGGCCTTGGACACTTCCAGGGATCCAGAGGCAGTCACATCTGCTCTGGGCAATCTGTGCCAGGGCAATCCCATCCTCACAGGAAGAATTTCTTCCCAATATCCCATCTAACCCTGCCCTGTGGGAGTCTGAAGCCATTCCCCCTTGTCCTGCTATTCCAGATCCTTTTCCAAAGTCCCTCTACAGCTCCCCTGGAGCCTTTGAGGCACTGAAAGGTCTCCCTGAAGCCTTCTCTTCTCCAGGCTCAGAAGTTTTCTTAGAAGAAAACTCAGATGTTTCCTCAGGAGAATTTGGCAGGCTTTACTATCATTAACAAAGCCTCACATTTCCATAGCAGCAAATCCAAGTGTCCCTTGCAGGCACAGAAATGTGTCAGAGTTTTGCACTGCTCATGGGGAGCATTCACATTCCCGCCCAGGCAGCTTATGGTGCCACTGGCACTGCTGCTTTGGGTGCCAGCTGGGCACACCTACAGCCAGGAGAGCAGCTGGAGCCACGGCCATCACTCACCAGGTACAGGACTCGGTAAGAGTGCCCTGTGAGCTTTGCTACTTGAGTTAGTGAGGGGTATTTCCAGACGAGGATCTGGTTCTGGGAGTATCCGTGGGTGCTCACCTGAAAGGGGAGAGGGGAACATGAATCATACAATCATGCAATTGTTAAGGTTGGAAAAGACCTCCAAGATCATCGAGTCCAACAGTCTAAAGACTACACCACTGCTCTGGGCAGCCCATTCCAGCGTCTGACCACCATGAAGAAATTTAAACCTCCCCTGGTGCAACTTGAGGCCATTTCTTCTTGTGCTTGTTACCTAGAAAAAGAGCCTGAATTCCACCTGGCTCCACCCTCCTGTCAGAGGAAGAGAAGGTGCCCCCTGAGTCTCTTTCTTTCCAGGCTGGATCCTCATAGCTCATAGCTGCTCCTCAATAGCCTTGTGCTCCAGCCCCTTCCCCAGCTCTGTTCCCTTCTCTGGACATGCTCCAGCCCCTCACTGTCTTTCTTGTTGTGAGGGGCCCAAAACTGACCCCAGCAGCTGAGGTGCCTCAGCAGTGCCCAGACCAGGGGGGCAGTCACTGCCCTGGTCCTGCTGGCCACACCCTGGCTGGTACAAGCCAGGATGCCCTTGGCCTCCTCACCCACCTGGGCACACCTGGCTCATGCTGCCCACGCTCCCCAGCACAGGGAAGGACTCACCAGCTCGTTGGCGTGTTTGGACCAGGCCAGGTTGCACACCTGGGAGCCGGTGTCGATGCACTGCAGGGGCTGCCCTGTCAGCGTGTTCCAGAAGCGGATGCAGCGGTCGGCTGTGCCCCCCCCTGAGGCCAGCAGCCCGTGCTGGTGTGGAGACCAGGCAATGGCCTTGACTGCTGCCAGGTGCTCTGTGTACTGCTGGACAGGACTCAGGCTGGAGTGATTCCAGACAAGGAGCTGGCAGAGAGAAGAGACATGATCAAACCTGTGCCTCAGTCATGTGTCCACTACACCCACGAGGCACAAGGAGACTGATGAGGGCAGTTGGGCAACAAGCTGATTTCCCATAGCTCTGCTCAGACATGCACAGCTCCACTCTGCACTTCACAGAATCATGGAATGGCTTGGGCTGTTTCAAGTTCATTTAGTTCAAATCCTTGCCAAGGGCAGAGACACCCTTTAGTAGACCAGGCTGCTCTTAGCCCCATCCGACCTGGCCTTGAACACTTCCAGGGATGGGGCAGTCACACCCACCCTGACACCACACTCAGCTGAGGAGTGTCCTACCCCCAGGCCATGTGGCAGGAACAGGCCCTAAGATAAGGGAATAAATCTAAAGAAGCAGTGACACTGAAGGGGGCCTCAGACCCTGCTGTTGTCTTTCTGGCTGTATCATTCCAGAACATATCCAGAAATCTGCTCAGCTCATTAGGAGTTATTCTGAGCAGGAGGAACTCGGTCCAACCATGCTGTCACACAGGCACTGGGCACATTCCCTACCTAGCAACCCGCTCCAAAGGGCTTGGAACCTGCTTTTTTGTGACAGATGCTTCTCCCATATGGTGCTCAGTGAGCTGCAAGCCTGTGCTCCAGGTATGAGAACGCACAGAGCTCTACCTCAGCTTCCTGTGCATACAAACATTACTGCAACAAACGTGACCATACACTACCCAAACAAAGCCAGGAAGGGCAGCTTAGCAGTGGCTTTGTTGAGCTCAACCCCCTGAGCCAAGCTAGAGATTTAATTAGCCAAATGCAGAAACAAAATTAAATTTGCCTTTTTCATTTTATTAGGAAGAGAAGACTGAGTAGAAGCTTAGCATGATTTATGTTTGGTCATGGTCCAACAACCAAAACAAAAGTCCTTTTCAGAGAGGCCAAACATCCTTAAAGAATCACTGAACCATTAAGGTTGGAAAAGACGTTTAAGATCGAGTCCAACCTTTGACCTAATCCCATCGTGCCCAGTAAACCACATTGCATATCCACTTGTTTTTTGAACACTTCCAGGAATGGCAACTCCCCCACTGCTCTGGGCAGCCTGTTCCAATGCTTAACCACTCTTACAGCGAAGAAATTTTTCCCTAAGCACAGAATCATACAATGGCTTGGATTGGATGGCACCTCAAAGCCCATCTAGTTCCATCTTTTGCAATGGGCAGGAACACCTTCAACTAGACCAGGTTGCTGCACATCCTGTCCAGCCTGGCCGTGAACACCTCCAATAATATAATAACGTCCAACCTGACAACATTTCCCCTCATCCTAGAAAGAAAGGGGTGTGACATTTCCCATGACCCCCTGAAAGGAATGTACCTTATTATCGTTGCCTCCAGAGGCCAGGAGCTGGTGGTCCGTGGACCATTTGAGCCCACAGACCTCCTGCCTGTGTCCCTGGAGCCGGCGCTCCGACTGCAGGGGCGGCGTGCGGATGTCGCGCTGCAGGATCATCCTGTCCCGGCTCCCGGACGACAGCTGGTCCGCGTTCCACGCCAGGGCTCCTGCACCAGGACAGAGCCTCAGAGGTGCTCCAGGAGCCACCGAGGCTGCAGAACACCTCTGAGGTCACCTGCACCAGGACAGAGCCTCAGAGGTGCTCCAGGAGCCACTGAGGCTGCAGAACACCTCTGAGGTCACCAAGTCCAGCCCTCAACTCAGCACCACTGTGACGGTGTTCACAGGGGCTCTCAGATGAAGGAAGAGATGAGGATCTGACTCCATGTTTCAGAAGTTGATAAAGTTTTCTTTATTTCTAAGCAGGAGCCTGCTTTGCTTATTCCTGGTCACATCTCACAGCAGACACCAGGGAGAGGGTATTCTCATGGGGGCACTGGCTTTGTGCCAGGGATAAACCATGACATTTTTGGTTGGGACAGGGGACCTTTAAGATCAAGTCCAACCTTTGACCTAATCCCATCGTGCCCAGTAAACCATATTGCATATCCAACTTGATTTATTTTTTTATGATATATATTACATTAAAACTATACTAAAAGAATAGAAGAAAGGATTTCATCAGAAGGCTGGCTAAGAATAGAATAGCAAAGAATGAAAACAAAGGTTTGTGGCTCGGCTCTCTGTCCGAGCCAGCTGACTGTGATTGGCCATTAATTAGAAACAACCAACATGGCCCAATCACAGATCCACCTGCTGCATTCCACAGCAGCAGATAATAATTGTTTACATTTTGTTCCTAAAGCCTCTCAACTTCCCAGGAGGAAAAATCCTAAGGAAAGGATTTTCCATAAAAGATGTCTGTGACACACCACCGCCACGTTCACCACCAAACCATGTCCTTGAGTGCCACATCCCCATGACTTTTAAACACTTTTCAGGCATGATGACTTCACCACTGCCTGAGGCAGCCAGTTCCCATGATTTGTAACCCTTTCTGTGAAGAAATTTTCCCAATATCTAATCTTAACCTCCTGTAGCACAGCTTGAGGGCACACCCTCTCATCCCTGTGAGCACAGCCCAACCCCCACCTGGCTCCACCCTCCTGTCAGGAGCTGTGCAGAGCCACAAGGTCCCCCTGAGCCTCCTTTTCTCCATATTGAGCCCCTCCAGCTCCCTCAGTTGCTTCTGGTGCTTCAGTCTCTTCCCCAGCTCTGTTCCCTTCTATGGACATGCTCCAGGCCCCTCAAAGTCTTCCTTGTAGTCTTCCTTGTTGTGAGAGATCTAAAACTGACTCCAGGATTCAAGGGGGGACCTCAGCAGTGCCCAGCACACAGGGATGGTCACTGCCCTGGTCCTGCTGGCCACATTATCAAGTCCAACCTTTCCAGTCCTGCAGCGGTTGGTAAGCAAACTGCAGCCATCAGAGCTGCCAGGGTTTAAAAAAAAGACCCTAACAAACCTCAAAGCACTCCTCACAGACCTCCCTTACATCCACTCTCTGGACTCCTACATCAGGGCACAAATAGAGGTTCCCTGAACAAACTGACTGCAGGTATTACCAACCTCACTTCACAGTGCAGTAAAGCACAGAAACATCTTGGAATGTGCATGGATTTCCCAAATCTCTCCCCAGAGCTTAGATTCACAACATCTCTGAGCAGAAAAAAACAGCCCTCCAAAAAAGGGAACTAGAAATCTCAGTGTGAAGCTGCCAGCAGAGCTGAAACTGGAAGCCAGCAGCAGCGAAGAGATGTTGTAACCAAACCCAAAAAGCCTCAAGCAAGGAGGAAACACCTGCTGCAACACCCAACCACCATCACACCGAGATCAGAACAGCAGAGTTGTGAGATGATAATATTTTGAACCTGCTCAAGAGGACAGCAGGGGATAAATATCAATCCTGGTACTCTGAGTTCTCTATTTCCAGCAGATCCCTGGCTAACAAAGTTCCATCAGGAAGAAGTGACCCCTCAGAACCTTCTGCTTCCCCACTCCTTACCAACTCTGGCTGTGTGTCCCTCCAGCATGGAGAGCTTCTTTCCTGCAGCTGCATCCCAGATCTGTACAAAGCCCTTGTGAGTGCCAACGGCCACCAAGTTTCCCTGCACAAACAGAGAGCCAGGATCAGCACAGCCAGGAAGTACAGGCAGAAAACTGAAAGTTGAGGAGAAGACTTGACATAAATCCCACAAGATGGAAAGCATCCAGAGTTCTTCCATTTGACATGTTTTTCCCTACTGAGAGGCCCAAGCAGCCTGTCTGGAATATATTTATTGTAACATTTTATTGTCAAGAGCTGAAGAAGCAAACTGGCTCCTTCTCCCTCCCACTCCTCTTAGCAATGCCTGGAGAACCTCAAGATACAAGAGGCTGCTCTCCATCCCCTCCCTTTTAGCAGAGAAAAACCAGCTCAGGGAGCTAACTACAGCTATGGTGACAATGACTACGTGCCCCATGTGTCAGCTGTCCCTGGTGACAGTGTCATACTGACCCGCTCTGACCAGCCCACGGAGGTCACGGAATCGCCTTCCACAGAGAGGTCGCACAGCCGCGTCACCTTCAGAGAGAAGAACGGGGTAAGGAACGTGGCTTTGTCACACTGGCTGTCCCACAAACCACAGCTGTGCTTGGGATAGAGTGTGACAAGTGCTGAAGCCCTCGCACAGCACATTCCACAGCCCTGGAATGTGGAAAAACCCTGGAAAAACCCTACATCAAGGGGCAATTCAATCTTCAGACACTCATGACCATTACCTGACTCGTACAAGCACTCCACAGGTAAACACAAGTCCCAAGGCCAACGCTGAGGACGTTAAGAGAGGACCAGTCCACCAGGTTCAGGTAGAAGTCGTCCTGCAGCTCTGGGGCATCCAGCACTTTGAAAGGAATCTTGGAGATTTTCCGAGTTGGTTTTCGAGGTGATCTTAGCAGCTTCTGACTGTTTACAAAAACAGATAAAAAAACAACTACAAGAATCTGCACATCACAGCAGATGGGAGGCACAGGTGCAGCCACTCTTTATAGAGCACTCTGAAGTTTCTATAGAAATGCAGACACAAAAAGGCTGCACAACCCTTTTTCAGCAGCAAGACTGGAAGGAATTAGGTTCTGCTCCTACAAAGGAGCTATGAAGCAGAAAAGTAAACTGATTACTGAGAGCTGACCAAGACATGTCAAGCACACAGACAGGGTGGGCATCTGAAGACATTCTCAGAATTTGACTGTTTTATTTACTATCTCTCCAGATTTCCAAACCAAATTCACATTTATTTTAGAGCTTCAGGCAGAAGTCCTAGAGAACCTCACTGAACCCTCTGTCCCCTCTATCCCAGCCCTTCCCTTTTAGTTTGCAGAGGATCAGTGTTACCTTTTGTTGCTGACAGGAGACAGGGAATAGGGTGAGACCTCGTTGCCATCATCCGGGCTGGAGCGTTTTGTGCTGAGCGAGTACTGCATAAAGAAACACCAGGTGAGGACCCTGCTATGCCCAAGGCCTGGGGCATCACTACCAGCGTGCACTGGTGCCAAGCTAATTCCAACATCCACTTTTTCCTTTCCCAGGTGCTCCAAAACCATACAAAACCCCTCAGCAACACTCCAAGTCCAACAGCCCGATTTGGCCACTCAGCACGCTGCCCAAAAGCCTGGCTCACACAGCTCTCCTGCCAGCACAAACACAGGAAGCACACTGCTTGCTGCACACTCAGGTTCCCTTTGCAGGCCACCACATTTGCTCTCAACAGTTTATCTCAGCCAAGCCCCAACACCAACTCACTGCACGAGCAGTCTGGCAGAGCCCTGTGCTCTGTTCCTGTGTCCCACACACAACCACCACTGGTGCTAATGCAAGTAACCAACTCACAGTGAAGAGAGATTTCTTCTCTGGGGTGGATGGCTGCAGCCTCCTGTCCTCTGTCTGGGGGTCCTGCACCTTCTCAATCCCTGCTCCCAAGAGTTCATTCTTCAGCAAGGCAGAGTAGGCAAGGCCATCTGTAAACCCAAACAGGCACAGAGCAGAGAGCTCAGAGCAGGAATAGCAGGGAGTATCAGGATCATGTGTGCCTGACCTGGAGAAGGGAAGGCTCCAGGGAGACCTTAGAGCTCCTTCCAGTGCCTAAAGGAGCTCCAGGAGAGCTGGAGAGGGACTTGGGAAAGGACCTGGAGGGACAGAACAAGGGGCAATGGCTCCCACTGTCAGAGGGCAGGGCTGGATGGGATATTGGGCAGAAATTGTTCCCTGGCAGGGTGGGTAGGCCCTAGCAGGGTGCCGAGAGCAGCTGGAGCTCCCCTGGATCCCTGGCAGTGCCCAAGGCCAGGCTGGACAGGGCTTGGAGCAGCCTGGGACAGTGGAAGGTGTCCCTGCCATGGCAGGGGGTGGAAGGAGAGAGGCTTTAAAATCCCTTCCAACCGAAACCAGTCTGGGATTCTACAACCTGTACTCTCACAGAGTCTCTTAATAAGCCTGGGCCCCCCATTTAGAATCAAGATTAGTAGAAAGTTTCCCCTCCTTCCACTCCATCAGGAAAGTGATTTCATGACACAATAAACCAAGGCATAGAGACAGCCTCTTGCATCCAGACACCCATCAAAAGCAGTGAGCTGGTACTCACTCATGATGTGGGCATTTCCCAAAATACCAGCATGAGTTTTGGCATAAGCATGAGAGTGCCAGCATGGCCTTAACCTCCCCAGCAGTTTGCACTCAGAGCTCTGGGCACTGCCAAGCAGTAGAAGGGTGATCTCACCTTTGCCAGTGTCTGATGTAGCATCCTTTGCTTTCCTGTTTTGGCTTGGTGATTTTTCATTTTCCTGAAATGGAGAAATATGCCATCACCATAGAGAAACCTGAGGGTATATGGTGAAATAACAACTGCAGGGAGCAGAGGGTTTGAGGACACACACTCAGTGGAACTCTGCTGGGGCAGCAGAAGAGCATGGTGCAGAAGGTAAGCAGAGCAATCATGTCAGCCAAAACAAAAGGTATCACTCCCTTGCTTCCAAGGCTGAGCTGTAGGAGAAGGGAGCAAAACTTACATTTATTCTGTGGAAGTTGATGCTCCAGTTGGCCCCAGCTCTTGAGGGAATGAATCTGTCACCATGCTTACTAGGAGAAGACATTGGAGAATTGGAAGGTGTCAAGGTTCTTCTTATCTCTGCTACCTGAATTAAAGAAAAAAAGACACTGACCTTACCCATGTCAAGCTCCAGAGTTGGTTAGTTTGTCAGGCCTCAATTTTTTATGTTACACGTGTAGTTGCTGAGATTATGTATTAAAAAGGTATTACTGAACTCCACAAAAATATCTTCACCCCTTTCTGCAACCTGAACAGAGGTCATATATTCAAAAGCTCTCTTAAAGTGAAGCTATTTGGGTATTCATAGAACAGCTGAGGAGTTCACACCTGCTCACAACCCAACAAAAGACTGAGGTTTGCTTTGAGGAGGCGCCAGGTCTTTCAAAAGCTCCAGGAAAACAGTCACAAGTGAGACAGACAACATAGCAGTGAGCCTGAGCCCATCTGTACTCACACAAGGCATTGTGTTCTCGTTCTGTATGTTGATTTGGCGTAGGAGACGTCTCTCATAGTCCTGATCCATGGTGGGAATGGCTGCAGGGATCAGCCGGCTCAGGAATTTCTCTTTGTGAAGTCCAAGCAGTAACTAGTGTGCTGCAAGAGACAGGAGAGAACAACAAAATGTTACACTCCTCCCTGCTGAAACGGCCTCTCCAAAGTCTCCTAAGCCTGTTCTTTGAACCTGAGACCACTTTTCCTATCCAGAGCATTGGTGCCAAACTTGTGTGACACTGAAGAATGCAGGCAGCCAGTATTTTGTGTCTGACAGGACCTCACCCCACCTGGAGCAGGGACTGTCCCAGGCCCTGCAGCAGAGTTTGGCAATCCTTCACAACACGGGCATGAAGATTCCAGGAACCTGCAGCCTGTCCTGTCCAGGCACTGGCACCAGCTGCACAGAGAGGTGTGGCTGCCCCATTCGTAACAGTGTTCAAGGCCAGGTTGGATGGGCTTGGAGCAACCTGGTGTACTGAAGGTGTCCCTGCCCATGGCAGGGGGTGGAATGAGATGGGCTTTAAGGTAATTTCCAGCCCAAAACACTGTAGGATTCTGTGATCCCACTGCTCAGGTCAGGGGCACAGGAGCAGTGCTGGAGGTGGGATGCTTTTAGCCATGTCAGAAGTACTGCAGACCTTTAACACCACCCACTGGAGGAACACACGAGGCACACTAGGCATCTAGTAGTCCCAGTGAACATTCCATGTCTGATGCCTGCACTATCCCAAATCCTCCTCCTGGCTGGCACAAGGCTTGCTCACTCATACAGCTATACAGTCGATAAGCAACATTAACATCATTTAAGCACATATTTTAAGCATATATTTTAGGACAGGACTGCTTCATAGCTGAGATTTGCCTGGTAAATTAAGATGTGCATCAATAAAAAATAGATGAGCTGACCCTTGTGTGAGAATACACAGTCACAACCCTTGCCAAGCCCCAAGGGCAGAGAGCAGCACCCCCAGGGTCCAGCCTTACCCATCACAACCTTGAGTGCCTTGTCCAGAGCTGACATGGGCACAAAAACACCAGAGGAGACATCAAGTTGGCCTTTCAACCCAAGATAAACATATCCAAAGGCAAAGGTACACCTAACACATAAGCAAATTCCCACAACACACAGGTATCTGGAGGCTGTGCAGAACAAAAAGGGATTTTCATTCCTGTTATTGCATAAACATTTATGGCACCTGGCCAGAGTCCCAGCTGCACAAATGGAGGCGCCTCGAGATATAAACTTGTGGTAAAATCCCCGAGGCAACTGCACACAAAGCTGGGCTGGGAGGAGCTGCCCAGGGAGCAGCTGCACAGTGCCCACTCAGGGACAGCCCTGCATTGCCCCACTCAGGGACAGCCCTGCACAGTGCCCACTCAGGACAGCCCTGCACAGTGCCCCACTCAGGACAGCCCTGCACAGTGCCCCACTCAGGACAGCCCTGCACAGTGCCCCACTCAGGGACAGCCCTGCATTGCCCCACTCAGGGACAGCCCTGCACTGCCCCACTCAGGACAGCCCTGCACAGTGCCCCACTCAGGGACAGCCCTGCAATGCCCCACTCAGGGACAGCCCTGCATTGCCCCACTCAGGGACAGCCCTGCACTGCCCCACTCAGGACAGCCCTGCACTGCCCCACTCAGGGATAGCCCCACTCAGGGACAGCCCTGCACAGTGCCCCACTCAGGACAGCCCTGCACAGTGCCCACTCAGGACAGCCCTGCACAGTGCCCCACTCAGGGACAGCCCTGCACACTGCCCCACTCAGGGACAGCCCTGCACTGCCCCACTCAGGACAGCCCTGCACAGTGCCCACTCAGGACAGCCCTGCACTGCCCCACTCAGGGACAGCCCTGCACAGTGCCCAGGACAGCCCTGCACAGTGCCCCACTCAGGACAGCCCTGCACTGCCCCACTCAGGGACAGCCCTGCACAGTGCCCCACTCAGGGACAGCCCTGCACTGCCCCACTCAGGACAGCCCTGCATTGCCCCACTCAGGACAGCCCTGCACAGTGCCCACTCAGGACAGCCCTGCACTGCCCCACTCAGGACAGCCCTGCACAGTGCCCACTCAGGACAGCCCTGCACTGCCCCACTCAGGGACAGCCCTGCACACTGCCCCACTCAGGACAGCCCTGCACTGCCCCACTCAGGGACAGCCCTGCACACTGCCCCACTCAGGACAGCCCTGCACAGTGCCCACTCAGGGACAGCCCTGCACAGTGCCCACTCAGGGACAGCCCTGCACTGCCCCACTCAGGGACAGCCCTGCACAGTGCCCACTCAGGGACAGCCCTGCACTGCCCCACTCAGGGATAGCCCCACTCAGGGACAGCCCTGCACACTGCCCCACTCAGGACAGCCCTGCACTGCCCCACTCAGGACAGCCCTGCACAGTGCCCACTCAGGGACAGCCCTGCACTGCCCCACTCAGGGACAGCCCTGCACTGCCCCACTCAGGACAGCCCTGCACAGTGCCCACTCAGGGACAGCCCTGCACTGCCCCACTCAGGGATAGCCCCACTCAGGGACAGCCCTGCACACTGCCCCACTCAGGACAGCCCTGCACACTGCCCCACTCAGGACAGCCCTGCACAGTGCCCACTCAGGACAGCCCTGCACAGTGCCCACTCAGGACAGCCCTGCACACTGCCCCACTCAGGGACAGCCCTGCACTGCCCCACTCAGGACAGCCCTACAGTGCCCACTCATGACAGCCCTGCACTGCTGCCCCCAGGAGCCACAGACTGCCCAGGGCTCAGCAGTTAAAAACTGGGGTGAGTCACCAAGCTGCCAGGGGTGCAGCAGTACACGCTGCAGTTCAGTAAGATGTGATGAAATTTCACAATACTCCGTGAAATAAGCTTGAAAACAAGGCAAAGCACACGGACTCCACACTGCAGAGCTGATGGCCCTGCACCTCAGAAAGGTACAGGAAATGGGGTGACATCAAAGTGGTGACCACTGGGGTTCCAAGGGCTCCACCTTAGGGCCAGCTCTCTCAAATGTCTTTGAAAGTGACTTGGGGGCAGGACTGGAAGATCCTGAGTTGGTTTACTTGGGAGGAACTGCTGAAATTCTCAAGGGCAGAGAGGCCACACAGAGAGACCCAGACAAATGTGAGGAGTGGGAAACCCCCAGCCATGTGGTGTTTAACAGGGCAAGTGTTGGATCCAGCCCTGGGATGGAGCAGCCCTGGGTGCAGGGACAGGCTGGGGATGAGAGGCTGGAGAGCAGCGCCCTGGGAAGGGCCCTGGGGGTCCTGGTCAGTGCCAGTTGGATCTGAGTCACTGCTGGGTCCTGGCAGCCCCAAGGGCCACCCTGTGCTGGGGGCACCAGGCCCAGGGAGGGATTGTCCCACTCTGCTCTGCCCTGGGGCAGCCTCAGCTCCAGTGCTGGGGGCACTTTGGGCACCACGAGATCAGAAGGACCCAAAGCTGTTGGAGAGTGCCCAGAGGAGGGACACGGAGCTGGGCAAGGGCTGAGGAGCAGCTGAGGGCACTTGGCTGGTTCAGCTGCAGCCCAGGAGACTGAGGGGAGGCTCCTCGGGGGCTGCAGCTCCTCCCCAGGGCAGGCACAGGGGCAGGGGCTGAGCTCTGCTCTGGCACAGGGACAGGAGCCCAGCAAGGGCTGCAGCTGTGCCAGGCCTTGGCATGGAGCTCAGGGCAAGGTTCTGCCCCCCGAGGCTGCTGGGCACTGCCCAGGCTGCCCAGGCAATGGTGCCAAGGCTGCCAGAGCTGCAGGAGCTCCCAGGGCTGCTCAGGGTGGGGTGTTGGGGTGGCTGTGCAGGGACAGGGGCTGGGATCAATGATCCCTGAGGGTCCCTCCCAGCTCAGGAGATCCCGTGGTTCTTTGAGCTATGCCATTTTTCAGTACCAACACTTGGACTTTTTACAAATGCTAAAATGCTTTTCTTCCTTAACATTAAGCATGCCAACACTTTTACAGGAGCATCCCTGAAATAGACAGTCAAGCTGGTTCTGATCACACCTGCTTACCTCTATCACCTCCTCCCCCAAGCTTTTCTCTTTTTTAATTTAACACATTACTCCCATATGTTCTTTCAGCGTCAAAACTGGAGAAAGCTTCCAAATTTAACAGAGATCAGCTTCCACCAAATGAAGCAGAGTCAGAGACGACATAATTGCAGTGAAAAGTTAGAAAAGTCTGTGATGCTATTAATAAAGCAGATTTAGAAAATAAAAATTAGTGCATGCCATATCAAACACTCTCCCTCGTTATGAAGTTTACTTACCACCACCCTCACCGACCCACAAGCTACCAAATATGTGTCTCAAATGAAACAGTTCAACAAAATGCCCCCTCCCCCCTTTTCTTTTTTTGGGGTGTTGTTGTTTTAACACCATGAGTAAGAGAGCTCAGCCTGCAGAACCCACACGAGGAGCGTGATCAGCCAGGGAACACCACACATTGAAGTGTCCTCCCAAAATGGCTCAGCACAGCATTCGTGAGATCCAGATCCAGTTACACAGCAAAGAGACATTTTAAATTCTGCATCTGAAACACATTTGACTATCGAGCTTTCCAGTTCCCATCTGCCCAAATTTCACCTACAACTTTCACTCAGAAACACAGCACAGATTGTTCAACAGAGAGACAGCCGAGGCAGAACACAGCAGTGAAGGTTCAGCACCTGAACAGTGAGATGTTTTTACCCTAAAACCTGTGCCACTAACAAGGCCAGGGAGCAAGCAGCACCTCTGGTTTGTGGGATGCTCTTGCTGTCTCTAAATTTGTCCATGGGAAGTGAGTGGAAGTGAGTCCATTTCCCCCAAATCAGGTACAAAAGGCTTTGCCAGAGGACTTGGGGCGAGAGCTGCTGGACATGAGCTGGTGTGTGCCCAGGTGGGCAAGGAGCCATGGCCCATGGCTGGTATGAGGCACAGTGGGGCCAGCAGGAGCAGGGCAGTGACCATCCCCGTGTGCTGGGCACTGCTGAGGCCCCACTCACATCCTGGTGACAGTTCTGAGCCTCTCACAAGAGGGCTGGAACACGTCTGGAGAAGAATGGAGCTGGGGAAGGGCTGCAGCACCAGGAACAGCTGAAGGGAAGCTCAGCCTGGAGAAAAAAGAGGT